CGCCTCTTTAAATATTGGCGCGTATTGAAAATTTACAGAATTCTTTATAGAATTTTGGTTTAAAATATTTGCGCGGTTGTCACATTTAATTTTCTTTCTTATTGGCTGTATAAAACGTGGACATGATATAATTAGAAAACATTACTTAGGTATAAAAGAAATCAGCAACGATTTAGTACCTATTGTTAATTACGTTGGTATTTTCCTGTTTAGTTGGCGTCTATTGAATAGACAGTAATTACTATTTAATTTAATAACCAATAACAGGTACAATTGTAAAAATGTAAATTAAATTTGTTATTATCCATCCTTTTTAGATCGTCTACTACAGTCAAATTAGACAGTGTAAATAGACAACATATTTCATAAAATTGGATTTTATGATGAGCATAGCGATTATTTTACAGGAAATTTTGTTTGCTTTAATTTTGTATAGATGCCTACATACGCTGAGTTGTTTAATCATTAACAATCAATCATTACAATGCAATAATCCTTATGTCCTCAGAAAAAAAAACAGCAGTCTAATCCAATAATCAGTCAAACTATATAGTGCAGTTAAATAATAAATTAATAAATCTGCACCCGTCGAATAAATTTAATTAAATATTTGCACGTTATTCTCATTTAAACAATTCAATGAAAAAAAACTCTCGACCCGCATTTTAAGCTGCAGCACTACCGCGCATCGGTCTCCTAGCAACTAAGCGTCGTACACATGTTTTTCAATCACCATTGGCTAGTAGCGGAAAAAACACATAAGTATATGTATTTAAATTTGCCGCTCAACTTGAGCCACCTCGCACTCTGCTAGTGATTCATCCATCTAAACGATTGATAATGCAGTGTATGTTCTCATTTTTGAAAACAACATTGGCTTCCACTCCAAATATAGGGTTTCTGGAGCGTTTAAATATCTCCGGAATGCGTGGGTCGATCGGACTGAAATGTAATGAGATTAAAGGGGACTTTAGTCACATGGACTGGTAAAAAATATGGTCCAAATCGGTCAAGTAGTTTTTCAGTTATCGCAAAGAAACCATTTTTAAAGAGGTGGGGTTGCGTCAGGGGTTGCGTTGGTCCACAGTTCACATTCTTAACTGATTTGAACCATTCGATCACAACTATAATCCAATTGAGGCAGTTTATTTTGGATTTATTATATTGTTTATAGTTTGGCCGGCAAAAATTAAAAAGTGATTGCAACATTTTTTCCGGGAGTCTTTCCTTATCTTATTATTTGTATAATAAATGCTATAAAATGTCTATTGGCCTTTTTTTTTAAAAAATGTTCGTTTATTTCCGCGCAAGTCGGAAGTAAATATCGTTCGTTAGACTACTTCCTCTAACTAAACGATCTAGTTCGGTCGATTTTTCCATACGTCCGTCGACGGTAGGGCGACGAACAGTGTGTACAAAGGGCAGAGACGTAATCAAAGCGAGCTTATTACTCGCGCTTACTGGGAATACACAATACACACTAAAAAATCTATTATTGACCGCTCAAAAAACTGCTTATTGTTACACGAAGAACATATCTTCGCACCTATGAATCAAACCAACAAGCGTTCGGACCTTAATAAATTGTGCCATAACGGTAGAATGGAATTACATATCTTTAAACATCATACATTTCAAGGAATAATAGATACCTAAATAAGTGCAAGCAAACACTAAAAATTTGGCAACGCTGGGATTTCTGCAATGATATTTATAAACTTCTAAACAAGTAGTTGCCTTGAAATAGCCCCTTAGGCGTAGCGTACGCCAATAAAATGGAGAAAAAGCAGTCAAATTTGTTAGGCAACACACAATACATATGCAACACTATTCTCTATGCCGTTGAATCTCTTATTATGGTTACTCTTTGGTTATACGTCCTAGCATAGCTAAAAAAAACTGTTCCTTCTCAGAAATACACCACATTATCACAACCCCCTCGTATTCAACCCAAACGCAAAGTCAAACAAACGCAATAAACAACCCCGCTGAGTTAAATTGCTCAACTTGTAGGAAACGTGTGTGTTTTTATTTTTTTTATTGTTATGTTTATTATTTACTTTTTATGACTTTTAATAATGCTCTTTCGCTTCTACATGCACTCCTAAAGCCGGATTGTAAAGATGATAAAATATTACATTTGATGAGATGTTCTTACAGTTGAAGACACAAGACTTTTTCAAATATGTTTGATATTGCTGACAATATATACTAATTTATTGGTCTTAGATCAGACAAACTTTCAGGACTACTTTTAACCAAAATGGTCCTGAAACCTTCAGTTTCGCGCCTACTTTCTGTCAGGAAATTTTAGTTTCAATGACAGAGGCAGAGCAGACTACGTTAGGTTAAAATCCTTATGGTTTTATGGCTCATCTTCAACTCAAAGTTATGAGATTTGAAATCGTTAGCAGATTTGTAAGTAACACTAAATACAAATTTCCATTTTTTAATTATTTCCAAAGCCCTATCGCGTTGGCGTTAATAAAAGTGGGTTTGATCAAGTCCAGACTTCAATCAATTTGCAAATCTAGCCACTAGTGGCAATACTGAAGAAGTAAACATTCTATTGGTTGTTGAAAGATCTATTATCCCTTATTATCACAGGTATGTGTTGTAATGAAATTAAGTTTCCATCTACTTATAGGTGATATATCCCCAATGTAGTTTTTAAAGATTGTCCTTTTTGCATTTTCTGAGCACACACAGGGCAGCTAATCGTAACTTGACACATAAAATACAACCGGTTTTTCCTTTTCCTCTACAATTCTAAAATTTCAATTCCCTTGAAATATTCGTGACTGTCACGATTACTCCAAAAATGTCAATTATTACAGAATATATACCTACGGAAAACGTATCGTCTAAAGTTTCCGTTTAATTTTATACCATTTCGAAGGTGAGATATGAAATATAACAGCAATTTCGTTACGCCACACTACGGCGGAAAAACATACACGTTCACTTCCTAAAAGCTATGAAATTTGATTTTTCCTGTCACAGTGAGATTCTGAATCTTCGCTATGTTGACACTTTAAAAATGTAGCATAAATAAAAAACCTCGTAAAAAACTAAAAGCGTAATTTGCTCAAGATGTGAACAGAAAAAGTGGTTGCGTATAACGTCGTAATAGTGAGCTTATTGTGTGGTCTAATAAAACAATTTCTATGACTATAATGGATTTAACCGTAAATTATGTTCTATGACCATTGATCATATTTATACTAGACAAAGGCGATCAAAACCTAACACCCGTACATAAATCTTAAGACGTTATGCTTCGATTGCACACACGAAGCATTAGTCAAGCATATCGTTATTGACACCGAAATTTAAACGATTATTCCACCCTGAATATTCAGACGCTAAACTTATTAAGTATAAGTTTAGACAGGACCACAAGTCAAGGAAATCTGGGGTTTTGCGTATATGGAAAGATGTTATGTGCTGAAATTCTTTTGTCTGAGTGGCTGGGCTGGGCGCGTTGTGTCCTTTTTATTAACGCAGCTGCTGATGGTAAGAGAATGAGAAGCACTTATTTTCCAACCCCGTTTCATAACTGATGGTTACAAAAGATACGAAAACCAATTAAAGTGAACTTTCCTACTGTAAGCAATTAAATATTTTTTCGTATTTCAAGGAACTTTTATTTAGTAACAAACATCACATGAGTCAAGTAAATTAAAGGACGAACTAATTAATTAGTAATTGGAATGGTTTACACGGATTTGAGGGATTTTTAGAATTATGGTGTCGGGAAATACTATCAAGCAGTTGCAATCTGCTTTAAATGGCGCAGAAATGCGGATATCTCGGTTGGAAATTGTTCACACACAAAATTGAAAACTTCGTTACGAATAAAAGTTAAACACTGAGAATTTCATTACAGAACTGTTGACTTAATCTAGATTTATTTCATTTATTCGCATCTTTTCCTCTCATCATCACAACCCGTCTTTGCTGTTTCTTCGTATAGATAAAAGAATAAACCTGGAATAAACTCACCCTTTCATTTTTTTTATACTTCCTTGTGTAAAAACTTAAGATGGCAATTCCATAATTAGTTCAGCCGGAGAGTTCGCCGAACATGGCTTCGGGATTATCACGTATAAATGTAAATTCGCATGGATAATTACGCTTAAAGTTTCTTTTGATTCATTGAATAGTCTTTCGAATACCATTCGTAGTCGAAATATTTCTCAATTATTTTTGAGGTGCTGTTCCACTCATGCTAGTTACGTTTTTTAATACCACTCGCGCTAGTGCTCGTGGTATTAATCAGCGTAACTAGTGACAGCACCTCAAAAATTATCTCGAAAATTATCGACAGTACTTCAACCACTAATGGTATTATATTTGAAAATTTTTAAAAAGGGTATCTGGTTTGGATACATTTTTTAATCAATATATTCAAAACGTTACGGTAATTTGGTGTTTGATTTGACAAGCAAACTATTCAATTAACTATACAAATTTGAAGGAATTTTTTCAGGTAAAAGGAAAATTTCTACAGTAAGTAATTTCAGTACATTCAGTAAAATACTTACAGTCAGAAATTTCCACTTTTTGATAAAAAATCCATGATTTCAAAGTAAGAGAGTTCAAAACCTTTAAAAGAAGTAGGAAAGCCTACTTCAATGTCGTTTGAATTCTAATACTGTAAGCAGTGCTTGTATATAAACTAGGTATTCTGAAACTATAACCTTATCAGGAGATATAAAGATGACCTAACAGACTTAGGTAATAGTCTTAAATTAAATTATGAAAAGGAAGCGACTACCAGCTGAAATAATAATTTTTCCTTTTGTGGCAATTTTTCCCTCTTCTTTTTTATATTATTATACTTTGCGATTTGGGGTTTGTGAATGAGTGCCACTTGGTTTAGAAGTTCTACAGAGAAAAATAATTAAAATTATTTCACAATGTATCAACACAAAGCAACTAAAATGAAAATAAAGGCTAGTATGTTTGCTGGATTTTAATTCCCCATTTTTTTCCAGCATCATGTCAACTGCATGTGAATACACCGCCGATTATGACATTCGAGAGGAACTGGGTTATTCCGGAGACTGAAGAAGTGGGCAGTGTAATTACACGTGTTGGTGCAAGGGACAACGACGCGGACTTTTTAATATATGGAATAGAGCCGATCTCTTTTGGTGACGGGCCACCGAGGCCCTTGCCGTTTAGAATTAATAATGCAACAGGAGTTGTCTATTTGAACGAATCGTTAAAGGGAAGGGTAAGTTAACCGTTCCATTTGTATTCGAAGTGAAAGTGTAATGGGGTACCTTATATTCGCTAACTACCGCGCAAACCAGGGAAATTAATATTGAACGTAGTTAAAAGCAACCTCTTCCCTTCCGTTGAAAGTTATGAGTTTTTAATTTGCCTAAACGTATACTTTACCCGAAACTACGGTTTACGGAAACAACATTATGCCATTTGGTTTAGAAAAAATTTATGTTCAGAATATGTTTCATGTAGAACTACCTTTGTCCACCGCATAGTGCATAAGCCTAATAATATAATATGGGCACTGTTTAACAGATAGGTATTTGGGTTTCCCCTTCTATTAGTAAACTTGATGGTATACATTTGTTTTTTAGATGTTTACATAAAATCATTCTTAGAGTTAGTGCATATACCTACCCGGAATGAGTTTTTTTTAGAAGTTTAGTCCGGGATCTCGGAAACTAGGAGAGATAGAGGGATCGTAAAATAGGGAAAGAATTGCATCTTTACGAGCTCAGTAATTAATAGTAAATTATGCTACGAGAACTGACAACGCGTAATGGTGAAGGAGCGTATGGAAGCGAGTTAGCTGTAGTTTTCAGCTCGTGTCGTGCCACATACATGTTTGTTGCTGTTTCTTTTTGCTGTAGTACTTAAAAACATTTAAACATCTAAAGAAGATAGAATTTTTTTAGAATCATTGCGTTAGTAGCACTGCTTTCTAACCATTTTCTTTTGGATTTTAATTTATTTCCCATTTACAAAGAATTCGTAAAAGTTCGTTTCTGAATACAACCAAACTCTTTATACCAACGATATCGCGGTAAACTTATAAGAATCGGGAAACCGTAACCCTAAAATTATTGTTGGTATTGTAACGTTATTTATAAAATTCGGGTTCGATTTATATCAATATTTATTAAACAAAAACTAAAACACTATAAAATCCGTACAATTTATATCGATCATTTATATCACACACTTCGACATTTATATCAGCTTTTCGCGCTCTATGTTTCGTTCGCACTCGATCTCGTTCGATAGTAGACTAACTGCGATGTTCGGTCCGCAACCATTTATACACGCAAGCAATGTAAGTCCAGTACATTCTCGAATGTTCCTACAAATTCCACTATCGCGCGCGTAGAAAATTCCAGAGAATTCTGGAGCATTTCCGTTACACTGCCCCCTTCTTAATTCTGGACGTCTTCGTTCATCGTTAGTATTACTTTTTAATGCCTCGTGTCGGAATCTGCAGTCAGAGCCTGCTCGACAAACACCTTTCTTGAAAAAGTAACAGTCCACAGTTTTGCGGAGGGTCGTCCCCTGTGGGTTGAAGCAGCATACTGTAATTCGAACGCTAGTGTTTCTAAAAATCACTTCGATCATGGTTCGCACTATTTTCCAGTCCAACCCATCTAAACCACATCCAATCTTCGGGATCGCCAAGCTATTTATGTCATAGTATGCCATGAGTTTCTTTAAGCTTTTTAAAGCAGACCAGAGGTTTTCATAGGTGGGTTTGCCTTCTGACGTTTTCTTTGAAACCAAGTAGAACAAAGAGCGTTGATTATCTTCCAAGCGCAGTACTTTACCCACTCGTGGTCTTTACCTTAACAACTCGTCTATTCTTCCAAATCTTTTCCGGAATACGGAAGCTATACCTCTACCCATGCGAAGGTCTTCGGCGACACAATGGGCGATGGAAACGTTAACCGGAAGCTCAAAAATATTTTGACAAATTTCCTGAGTAACGCCAAATCGAGCTTTCTTCCGCTGGGCGTAATTTCACATAAAATCGTTAAAGTTTGGCTCGATCCCAAAGCTGCGTTCCTCTTCTCGAATACCTCTAACTTCTTCGTTGTTGTTGGATCCGGCATATCGTGCGAGTCGATTAATGTGGACAACTTTCGGTTTCCGGTGGTTCATTCTGATACGATATATCACGTCATTTATTTTCTTGATCACCTCATACGGACCTTCCCATTGTCTTTGTAGCTTGGGAGAAAGACCTCTTCGTCTCTGTGGATTGTGCAGCCATACCAGATCTCCAGCTTCAAAAGTTTCATTGACCGAGCGGAGGTTGTATTGATTTTTCATGCGATCGCTGGCAATCTGAATATGACTTCTAGCCAAGTCGTGAATGTCGTTCATCTTCGCCTTTAGTTGGTCAACATAATTTTCACCTGCGACATATTCTTCATGGGGTTTACGCCCAAACTCGAGATCACATGGAAGGCGTAGCTCACGACCCAACATAAGGCAGGCAGGAGTCTGACCCGTGGTCTCGTTGACGGCTGATCGATATGCCATAAGGAACAGGTGGAGGTACTGGTCCCAATTTTTCTGATGTTCTGCCACGACTTTTGAAAGATATTTACCCATCGTTCGATTCATTCTCTCCACCATTCCATCTGACTGAGGATGCAAAGGTGTTGTTCTGGTTTTATTGGCTCCTACCAATCGACAAACATCTTGGAACAAAGCCGATTCAAAGTTCCTTCCTTGGTCTGAATGGATTTCTATAGGAACACCAAAACGTGTAAAGAACTCCTTTACCAACACTTCTGCAACTGTTGCTGCCTCTTTGGTTTGGAATGGCGTAAGCTTCAGTCCACTTTGTGAAATAATCCATAGCGACTAGGATATATTTATTTCCGCCATCTGTCTCGGGAAACGGTCCTGCGATATCGATAGCAACTCGTTCCATCGGACTACCAACGTTATACTGCCTCATGGGTGCCTTCTTCTTGGAAACTGGTCCGTTTCCAGTAGCACATAACTCACATTTTTGACACCATCGCCGGACATCTTCTTTACGGTTGACCCAATAGAATCGCTCACGTACCCTTTGCAACGTTTTCGTAATACCAAAGTGTCCTCCGGAAGCGCCGTCATGCAATTTTCGCAATACTTCCGACACTTTGCTTCTAGGTACTACTAATTGCAGCGTCGATTCGGTGCCATCTTCACTTTCAAGGGTCCTATACAACAGGTTGTCTTTCAGAGTCAGGCTATTCCATTGGCCCCAATAACTCTTTACTTCAGGACTTGTGGCACTAATGTCTTGCCAGCCTGGTCTTTGTCCGTGGCGCATCCAATTCAGAACAGTTTTTAAACTTGGGTCGTTTTCTTGGGCCGTTTTGATTTCGCTTAGCTTCCATTCCTCACTCTCTACAGTTGTTCGTCGCAGATGGCCAATCTTGTCTTCTATTTTAGAACAATGTGTGCAGTTGTCCTTGCACGGTCTTCTTGACAAAGCGTCTGCATTATTGTGAACTTTTCCAGCCCTGTGTTCAATGTCGTAGTCATATTCCTGAAGACGTTCTAACCATCTTGCCACCTGTCCTTCTGGGTTTCGGAACTGCAAGAGCCACTTTAGCGCTGCATGATCTGTCCTTATCAGGAACTTGCGGCCGTAAAGGTACTTATGGAAATGTTCGCATGCCTTTACCACACCCAGGAGCTCTCGCCTAGTCACACAATAATTCCTCTCGGGTTTCGACAGTACTTTGCTGAAATAGGCAATGACTCTTTCCTGTCCGTCTTGCAATTGAGAGAGAACAGCTCCAATGGCGGTGTTACTGGCATCGGTATCTAGCACAAACTTTCCTTCATTTCTGGGGTAGCCAAGGATAGGTGCGCTAGTAAGAGCTTGCCGGAGATGTTCGAAAGCTCTTTGACAGTCTTCACTCCATTCGTACTCATTGCCCTCTTCTGTCAACTTTATTAATGGTTTGGCAATGTTGGCAAATCCTTTCACGAATCGTCTATAATAGGTGCACAAACCGAGGAAACTTCGAATCTCGTGCTTGTTCTCAGGAATCGGCCACTCTTGAATCGCTATAATCTTCTCTGGGTCAGCTGTAACACCATCACGAGATACGATGTGCCCCAAATATTTAACTTCTTTTTGGAACATAAAGCATTTCTTTGGACTTAGTTTTAAATTGGCCTCTCGTAATCGTCCAAACACCTCTCTCAGGTTCTTTAGGTGTTCTTCAAAAGTTTTTCCTACGACAATTACATCATCCAAATATACCAGACATGTCTGCCACGTTAGTCCCCTTAGAACTGCTTCCATAAGTCTCTCAAACGTCGCGGGGGCATTACACAATCCGAAAGGCATTACTGTGAATTGCCAAAGTCCAGAGCCTATAGAAAACGCGGTCTTCTCTCGGTCTGTCGATTCCATTCCCACTTGCCAATAACCACTCTTTAGATCGAGTGTGGAAAACCATTGGGCTCCAGATAAAGTGTCCAAGGTGTCGTCTATTCTTGGCAGTGGATAGCTATCTTTCTTGGTGACCGAATTTAATAGACGGTAGTCAACGCAAAATCTTGTGGAGCCATCCTTCTTCTTTACAAGCACTATCGGTGATGACCAAGGACTATTCGATGGCTCGATGACACCTTGTTTTCTCATGTCTCTAATAATCTCTTCCGCTTCGTCTCGTTTAGCCAATGGGAGTCGCCTTGGCTGTTGTCTAATCGGTTGGGAATTGCCAGTATTTATTTTATGGGTGACTATGCTTGTCTTTCCCTTGTCCTGGTCGTTTACCGCGAACACATCCCGAAATTCCACAAGCATATTTTTCACCTTTTGTCGTTGTCTATTGTCCAAATCTGGGGTGTTTTTAATGACCATATCTATCAGCTCTCTTGGATACTTTCCTTTAGATAGATTTTCCGATCTCACAGAGCGAATAGCCGAGATGGGCACACACTGTCCAACTGCAGTTCGTTTGCTTAGCTTAACAGGACTATCTTTCAAATTCATAATTCGAATCGGAACGCCATTTTGAACTTTTACCAGAGCCCTAGCCACTAGAAATTCCTTTTGGTTTAGTGCTTCGACTATCCGTAGGCTTCCCTGGCGACAATATCCATCTAAAGTGGTCATTATAATTTTTTCACTAAGTGCGGGTATAATGACGTCATGAGTGGTTAACAGGCGGATAACATCTTCTTTGTCTCCATGGAAAGGGAGTTCTTCATCGCCGACCTTTAACACGCCCTTTTTCACGTCCAACACAGCTCCGAGTTTCTTAAGAAGATCCATCCCCAAGATGAATTGATCAGAAATATCAGCAATTAGCACCTGGTGATTGATGGTGGTCTTTCCGATGGTGACAGACATTTGTATTTCTCCGTGCGTTTTTATTCTTTCACCAGTTGCTGTTTTTAACTGCACGGTCGAAGATGAGATCCGAGAATGATTCTTCAATAACTCTGGTCTTGCAATAGTTCTTGTTGCACCTGTGTCTACTAGCAAGGATCTGTCTTCTCCATTAACTCGGCCGTCGATGTACAGACTCAGAACTTTTCCAGACGACGTAATGTTTACAGTGAAGATCGGGGCTTTGTTTCTGCAGGTCGACGATAGCCCCTTCCTGTCGACCTTTCTTAGTTTTCCGACTGCTGTAATGGTTTTTGGCAGTTGCGGCGAACGTGTCCAATCTCGCCGCAATTCCAACATCGTGGTTCACGTTTCTTTGCCAGTGACTGTATTGCTTTATTGACCTTTTCTTCCATTACTTTACTGACCTTTTCTACCACTACTTTACTGACCTTTTCTTCAAAACTTTCAGAACCACCTTCCTCTTCGATGGTTCTTACCCGGCTGTCACTGCGAGGTTCCACCATACGTACTCGCGCACTTCCATGACTAGCTTTCTTGGCGGCTTCGAATTCTAACGCATGGGCCAAAGCTTTCTCAATTTTGTCGTGCCTAGCCAGTCTCAAAGCCTGCTGGGCATCTCCATCACGAACGGCATCGATAAATGTTTGTACAGCCAGTTGATCAAGAAAGCTCTCCGGTGCCGTAGGGTATGCCAATCGAATCAGTCTAGCGATGTCCGCTTCAAGTTCCTGCAAACTTTCTCCAGATTTCTGCATTCGGTTCTTGACTTGGGCATAGTAAACTTGCTGAAGGTGTTTATCGCCATATCGCATTTCGAGTCGCGCTACTATTTGTTGGAAGTTCTGTTGATCCTCGGGGATGGTCCGCAACACATCCAGAGCATCTCCTCTCAGAGCAAGAATCAGGGCTGTAGTTTTGTCTTGAAGAGTCCATTTATTTGCCGCAGCCGCTGCTTCAAACTGTCGAACGTACGTGGTCCAAGGAATCTTACCATCAAAAGTAGGTGGCTTTACTCGGGCTTGCTGAACGTCGCCTTCTACTCTTGTATTTGTTTCTGGGTCGACCTTCTTGTAATGAGTAGACTGTGGCACCTCAAGAAGACGGTCCATCAGTAATTCATCTGGGGCACTACTAGTACGCTCTTCCGTAGTCAGTCGCAAGAATTGCTCGCGCAGCTCTTCATACTTGTGCTCAATCTCAACGAATGTTGCTTTAAATGTTTTGGAAACTTCCGTAATTCTATCTTCAACTTTTTCTTCTTCTTCGATAATCTTTCTAGAATTTTCTTCCAACTTCTCGAACTTCTCTTGAATATTTCTAGAATTTTCTTCATTAATCCTTCTAGAATTTTCTTCCAACTTCTCGAACTTCTCTTGAATATTTCTATAATTTTCTTCATTAATCTTTCTAGAATTTTCTTCCAACTTCTCGAACTTCTCTTGAATATTTCTAGAATTTTCTTCATTAATCTTTCTAGAATTTTCTTCCATTTTCTCGAACTTCTCTTCAAAATTTCTAGAATTTTCTTCCAACTTCTCTTGAATATTTCTAGAATTTTCTTCCATCTTCTCGAACTTCTCTTGGTTGCTTTTCATTTCTTGTTGCAACACCTGTTGGCCATTTTGGATTTTCTGGAGCAAATTGAGCATCGTTTCTTCCATTTTAGCGGCAGCAGATCTTGTTACAGGCATACACAAGCAGAAGCACTTACTTTAAACTTACTTTTAATTAATCCCACTTCTGACACCAATGTAACGTTATTTATAAAATTCTGGTTCGATTTATATCAATATTTATTAAACAAAAACTAAAACACTATAAAATCCGTACAATTTATATCGATCATTTATATCACACACTTCGAAATTTATATCAGCTTTTCGCGCTCTATGTTTCGTTCGCACTCGATCTCGTTCGATAGTAGACTAACTGCGATGTTCGGTCCGCAACCATTTATACACGCAAGCAATGTAAGTCCAGTACATTCTCGAATGTTCCTACAAATTCCACTATCGCGCGCGTAGAAAATTCCAAAGAATTCTGGAGCATTTCCGTTACAGTATGTTACTTCCTTAATTTGGTGCCCCTGAGTTCGTTATTATTGACTTTCCAAAAAATATATAATGGCAGAAAGTTGGAGATAATTATGTCATTAACCCAGTATTTTATACCTCATTAATATTTGTTGATCCTTCATAACTTTACTACATCATAGCATTACTGACAAGTGACAAGGCATCTCCAGATCGTTTTTTAGTAGAATGCACAGAAAACACTGACTCTACGTTTGAGTTGTGGACATACATGCAGAAAACAAATTTTGATCATCGAGGCGCCGTTTGTACCATAATTATTTCTCACAAATATATAAAATAAAACAAAAATGTCAAGAACTTTTACAATCAAAGTTTTAAATATATAAGAAATTAAGTTTTATCTGCAGGATAGCGTCGATGCAATATATAAAACTTCAGCTTCGTATGCCTGTCACTAGTGGCGCTAGGGTAGCACCAAACTAAAGTCACTAGATATAGAAAGTACCACAAACGGAGTAATCCATTGGGCTCGTGTGTTAGAAAGAGAACACATGATTTTTGCCCAAAAATGGCGGAAGTTACCAGATTCTAGTAACTTTAATGTTAGGGATTGTTCCACCTGTCTGGAGATATCTGTCAAGTGTTTGAAATTTGAGGTTACTGTAGCGTCACCAGTGATAGATACATGAAGCTGAAGTTTTATATATTTCATCGACGCTATCCTGCAGATACATAAAACTTAATTTCTTATATATTTAAAACTTTTAATGCAAATATACCTATAAAAGTTCTAGATACATTTATTTTATTTTATATTCGTAAGAAATAATTAGTTACAAACGGCGCCTCATACTAATTCCTGCCCATTTTCCGAATATAGAAATCGGCATTCGAATTTTCTTAACGATTGGAGTAAGTGTTGCAACATGTGAGAGAAGTTTTTCCAAGCTGAAGCTAATTAAAAACTACCTGAGATCGGCCATGAGCAACTTGAGATTGTCAAACCTTGCAATTTTATCTATTGAGCGTGAAGTTACTGATTCGATTGATTTCAATTCTGTTATTGCTGATTTTGCTAATACGAAAGCACGTAAAATAAGTTTATAGAACTTAAATGTATTTTTTTTACACAAAACGCTGTAAATAAATTTCCTAAACCAAATATAGCTTATTTTTGTTTAAATGTTTCCCATTAGGTTATCACACATATTTCGTATTTCTTTGGAGGCCCAGAAATTTGGATCCGCACTGGGCCCAGAGAACCCTAGCTACGCCACTGGCATCATTTGGTATTAGAAAACGAACCTCGTATTAGAGTTCCGTTTAGATAACTTTCCCGAATAAAGTTTATTTAAAAAATGAAAATCGTTGATCTTCTAAAAATCTTCTAATTATAATAGTATAAAAGTACGCGAAACGAGTTTAATGGCACAACGCGTAGCGGAGTGCCTTTGAAAATTGCCCCTGCTTTAAAGACCAATTATACGCGTGTTTTTTATAATATTTTTTATACCTGCAATATAATTTAAAAATTAGGAGAATAAAATAAAATCAGATTGACGTTATACAACTTTTCATATTCTTTATAATAGGCTTTACTGGATTTGTTGTGTGCTTCATAAACTGATGTTCATGTGTTATTGTTATGAAAAACAAAGTAGGTACAGCAAAAACCATTTTTCTTAAATTCATTCATTCATTTATAGAGATTTCTTTTCTTTTTTTAAAAATCTACTACTTTAACAGCTTTGTATCAGAATGTGGGGTAAAAACGATCTGGAAGTTTACTTATATTTACTACTGTATAATATGTAGTATACAAAATATAACTAGACACTGTTACTGTTATGTACCCACCTAAGCGCACCTAAGATCGCTGGTTTATTTTATTGAAACCATTGAATGTCCTTGTACATGTATTAAATAGACATAAATCCTAGCACCATCACAATCTCTAAAGTCGTTTTATCTGGTAAATGAGTCATTATTAATTTTATTGCTAATAATTTTAACTTAATACCTACAGTAAATCACCAACAACTTTATATCCTGTACTAACATGATACATTCGATCGTTTCAACAGGCAATCCAGCATAATAGGTATGCAGGTTATTGTTACAAAAATAAACTGACAACAGTTGTCCTTATATTTTCGGATGGAAAGGGATACCGAAATGATTTTCGCTGCGGTTTTGTTTCTCACAAAAAAAAAACATAAATGAAAGTCAGTTCATGATCCATAAGATAAGTATAGGTATTAAAAAAATTGTTTTATGGTCAATATTTATTGGACACACGGTATGAATAGTTCACGTTCACACTTGGAAAAAAAAACTGAAAAAATGTTTGTTTGTTTAAAAGAAATAACCGTTAGTATAAATTGTCCGCAGGATTTCTCCAATGCACTCGTAACGCTTGTTATCTGCGATTGAGTACTGAACTTTTATGAATACTTTAAGTAGGAAATAAATTTAACATGCAAATTCTTTCCCATAAAGCTCGGAGAGCAGATAAGTTATAGATTTTAAGCGAGAGCGATAAAATTATGGAAACTTTCCGTATTTCAACTTGACAAAATTTTAAGTTCATTTTGTGTACTTCATTGCAGGCTGGCGAGAATATCAACCTTTATGTGACGGCGTTTAATGGAGATTTACCGGTGAAGACGGAAGTGTGGGTAAAAATTGTAGGTTCGAACTCTAGATCCAAAGCTTCACTTAAAACGAACCTTAATCCCTTTTCCAATACAAATAATCGTTTCCCCCCTAGTCTTTTGTCATTTACTAATTTTAACTCCGGGCAACCTCCCGCTTCCATAGCAAACAATCCCAGACCGTTTCCAGGACAAATGTCATATTTCCCTTTGCCAACCAATAAACCTAACAAGACTCGCCTGCTTCCCGCTCAAGAAAAACAGAACGAAGCTGATACCGCCGATAACTCATCGATCGAGGCCGAACTGACTACTTTAACCAAAGAAACGACGACGAAGCGTTACACGTATGAAACAAATCATATCAATACACCAATTGATCAACCAGTAAAATCCGTACCTGACCTGACTATTACACTTGTGCCAATAGTTTCTGTCGTTGCAATATTTTTGGGAGTTGGAATCATAGCGCTGCTGTTTCGAAAGAAAATTTGCATGGGCCGTATAAAAGAAAGTAAAGATGATATGGTAAGTTTTACTATACGTTTAGCTTAGTTTCACGACAGCTACTCGGGAAAATTGTAGAATTAGTATCGACACCGCCCACTAATTCTGTACTTTTACAGCGAAAGGAGTCATCAGGAGCAGTTGTCCTACAGGACGACCCATCGTTAACTATGCAATATTGGAGAGGGCCGAGAGCTTTCAGTAACCGTTACGTTCCGTGGGAGCGCGAAGCAGCTCACCCTCAGGTTTGTATAAATTGTCTAGTCGTAAATCGTTTTGAACGTGCCGAAAATGTTAAAAGCAGTCGTTATAAGATGACCCATCCCTTCGACTAATTCCTTAAAACACCACGTTTATGTGAATTTCCATTTTGTTTAATTTCGTAATAAAAATAAATATATTATTATCCGTGTGATTTTGTACGCAATTCAAATTTACATATTATGTGTAGGTGAAGGTCAGTCGGCTATAGTCTTGGGAATGAACGCAAGGATGTTTTAAAATTAACCCAAATAAAAATTAACTACTCGTCGGGGGGTTATAGTAAATTAACCAAATGCTTTTTTTTTCTAAATTAATGGACCGTTTTGCGTTTAATGTTTGCAAATGGAATTCAATTGCTTTGAATTGCTATTGAATTACAGTTATATATAATCAAAGAGAGAATGAATGTACTTAATTACGTTTAGGCTTTCACTCTTAGTAGCAATGTAATTTAGTACCTATCAAAGGTATCGATTCGATATTCAATGTGTCTAGATGTATATGGTTTTTACATAATAAGTACCTATGTCACTATATTATAAATCATTTCTATATAGTAGGGGAGCTAGCGACCCTTAATTTTGTAATACTAAAGAAAGCTGTAATTAATTATAATCGATCGTTGCAAGAGTGCTGGAGATAAGAGGATTGACAACCGCGAGTTACATACAATGTAGAAACTATAGTTTTATCACGGTGTACCTAAATTTAGAACCTCATAAATAAAAAGACCCGATGAAATAGTAGGTACCCAATTTAGTTCGTTTTCAATTAAACACAATTCCAATTTTATTGCCAAAATCTATTTTTTGTTTGACTAGAGCCGTACGATCTCTTCAATTACTGATGAATTGCTCACAAAACGCGTACGCAAGCGTTGTATTAAAGTTTTGTTGTAGTTTCTTTGTGTTTTCGTTTCTGTTGTTGTTCTATAACAAATCGTCATTTTCGAAATGAAGTGACCCTTACTTTGAACTCATTCTGTACGAATTTGTCATAAGTTAAAAGCTTGCAGAATACGTCATGTAGATTACAAAAGAAATTCAACTATTTAAGATTTTTAAAGATCGACAGTAAAAAAACTGTGGTAGTTGGCAGAACCTGTTACAACAACGTCACATAGCCAGTCAGAGAAATAGAGAAGGCGTTTTCGAACGCGTTTTGGAAAAGTACGGCCGATTAAACAATCCATGTATGATTGGTACATTTGAAACAACGGGGTAAAGGACATAATGGAGAGTGTCCGTGCAGGCAGTTGTAACGCACCGGTTATTATAAATCGTCTTATCCAAAAAATTATCAAAGTCCTCGTGTGAGATCGAAGGGACTTCAGCGCATTTTTGTGTGGCAGAGATTAAAAGCTACTTTTTACAAATAAATTTGCAAAAATGCGCTAAAAAGGAATTAGGGTAAAGTAGTGTAACTTTCCACTATGTTTATTGTTCATGTCAATATCGCTATGCTATGTTGTCTCAAGCAAATTGTAACCTGAGTATGGCTAAACAGTGGAGCGAATGGAATGAACTAACCATTAACGAAACAAAAACGGAGAACATGGTGCTTTCACTTAAACACCTTGATTTACCCAACCCTGATTGTGTGAAATTTCTTGGAGTGTACTTGGATCCCAAATTATCGTTCGATTCTCACATCAACTATATTTCCGCCAAACTGAACACAAATATATTTGTGCTACGTAAACTGGCTAACAAAGTATCACAGACAGTATTGTTAACCTCCTACCATGCACTGTGTCATAGCCTACTGTCCTACGCCATACTGTCTTGGGGAAACTGCTCGCAAGCGAAGTATGTCTTCAAGCTACAGCGTCGTGCGATCAGGATCGTCGCCAATGTGAGATATCGGGATGACTGCCGAAATACCTTCAAGACATTAAACATCCTAACATTACCGTGTGTGTATATTTTAGCAGGCTTATGCCATGCCAAGTCGAACGCGCATACTTTTATAACGCAACGTGATGTTCATAGTTATGATACAAGACAGACAACTTTTTTACGTGTACCCTTCTGCAGGTTGACTAAATCCCAAAATGGTCCCCATATTACTATTTACAAACTGTTTAACTGTTTACCTGACAAAATCAAGCAACGTGATTTTACATCATACAAAGACAAACTAAGAAAGTTCTTAATTGCAAATGCTTTTTACTCTGTTCAGGAATTTATTAATTACAGTAAGGATAACCTGTCATAATTATTAGTTATACATATACAGATTCGATTTATGACGATTGTAAGTAGATGTACAATGCATGAAATATATTATTATTATAAAAAAAGATAGGTATTTAGGGTTTCAGAGATACTTGTTAACAATAACCATCCACTAATTATTATAACAATGAACAAACGAATATAACATGAAACAAGAAAACTAATTAGCGAGTTACAATGGAGAACGTCTGAAGAAACTCCTCTACGTGTTCGTCCTATGTTTGCGTTCCTTCTTCTTTGACGCAGAAGGTGATATCATTCGGCGGAGGAGGTTAGCGTTCCTATACACTATTAACAGCAGTAGCAGTTGCCACGTTACACTATATCAGCAATAGGTATCCATGCAAGACTATACTATTAACATCAGCAATAGTCTTATAAGAGAGTTGCTTCACTATTAGCAGCCGAAGCAGACTGAATTTCTTACGTCGATGCACACCACTTTATACCTAGTTTTCAATGGTGGGGTGTGTCCATGTGACTGGTACCGACTGGCACGGCATTTGGTGGGGGTATGTCACTGTCAGCTTAACGGGTGACATTTATAAACAGCTGATGGCAGTGTTGCTTTGATTATTTAACTATTGTCAGTTTGATGGAGTATTGTGGAGTTGCCACATAACGCTACAGGTGTATAAAGCTGGTAATCTTGCGCCGGTTGAAACCACCTTCTAGACTTCCATCGAATAATAATAATAATAATAATAATAAAGATTATTTGAACTTTAAAAATAAAACAAAACAAAAATACAACAAAAAAGAAATAGTAGCTCAAAAAAGAAAAAGTAGCTCAAAAAAGGAATGAATGTGAATGAATGAATGAATGAGCGAAGTGTTTATAAGCGCATACACTTTTATAAGTTGAATGTTCCACTGTACAATGCATTAAAGAAACTTGTTCAGATCCAGTGGCGTGCGATATTACTGTCTTAGATTACCTACTCATTTCATAGGTAAAAACACATACTTTCAATGCTGACTTTTTCTGGTTATATATTTATAAGCTACACTTACTGGTCATGTATGTAAATAATTTCAATTGCAATATAATAATCGTTTATTAAAGTAAACCTCTCGCCAGGAAAGTTTGCCTGTCACAGAAGACCTGATCCCGGTCTACAATCTATGTTTTTCTAAAGATGTGAGCGACTTCCGGGATAGGGTCGTGCCAATGTTGAACGAAAAGTCTTTTCGTTCTAGATTGGCACGATTCTTCTTCTTTTCGTAACCGATTTAATTTTACAAAAATATGATCAAATAGATCAAAAGGATCTTCCGGGATATAGCGTTCTCTACGTTCCTCTGCCCTTTCGATATTTTGTATTACATTCAATTCCAATAACTCGTTATAATTGGCTATTGAGCGAATTACGGGTTTACGTCAAACGAAAACGACTGGCACTTGGTTATCGTTTTCAAAAGCGTTTCGACTGTCATCGTTAAGGTTACAAAAACGGCTGCGATAACCACGTGGTGAACGCAAATTGACGTCATAAACGCTAAGCGTTTCAAAAGTGCTTAGCGTTTTCATAGTTACAGAGTACGGGCCCTGGCTGTCACATTAATTAATTTGTATATGATTGCTTTCGAGGTTGCTTTGGCTTCCGTATTTTTATTTTCGTTCGTCTGCGATGTATTCAACTGAAGAAAAACTTGATATTGTCAATTGGTATAGTTCCGGCAACAGTTTAAGAAACGTTAAGTGATTTATTTTCTCGTAAGTCGAAGCAACAATATTTAAAGTAATTAATATGACAACCAGATGTTGGGTGCCTAAAATTAGGCGGCTTTCAGAAGCGATTTTGTCTTTTGAAAGTAGACATAAAGAAAAAGAATATACATAAATCCCTATGTATACTTCTTAATAAATAGTACTGTATAGTAGGAGCCGTGTGACGAGTTGTAAATAGTTTTTTATACTTCACTTTCGCGAAAATCTACGCGTCATGAGACTGTATGGCTCAGGTGGCCCCTATACTACTACCTGCTAGTAACCGGTGCGTTACAGTTACTTCCCACAATTATGCAAGCAGAACTGGCACAGTTATATTGTGTGTTATTTCCCATTGAACCCGTTTCCCGTATCAAAATTACCTATTTCTTAGTTAAATCCTGGTTTACGGTAACGTTTTAGGTTTAATACGTTCTGTGTCCTAACATAGTTATTGCTATTTGGACACTTCAAAACATAAGTATTTTTGCCCAGCTCTCTATCTACTACATACGGACCATTATACAAATGGAAAAACTATTGTCACTTGTACTTAACCTATGCTGTTGTACTATACTCAATCATGCCATATCGATAGTGAAAGTTTCCGAAAATATAGAAAAAAGGCGATGGGCTGAATGAGCACGGAATGTGGTGAAGTCCGTCAATTTATTTCAAAAAGGGATGAGTAAAGTGGAAGCGCATCCGTTTTTAACATTCTATCGGCGAGTGTCCTTAATCCCGAAAATCCTTAGCCGTTCTATCGACTGAAAGAATTACGGTAGCGAAACCGCGCACTTGAAATTTTATCAATTTCATTAGCGGCGATCTTATTTGTTTTAGATTTCCTTACAATCTTCAGCCCCTCCAAAGGTTTTAGACAAATGGGAGTTTCCACGACATCACCTTAAAGTGTTTAATATACTTGGCGAAGGCGCCTTCGGCCAAGTTTGGAAATGCGAGGCACTAGACATAAACGGTAGGGATAACCACTAAACCAAGTATTTGAGTTTAATGTTAATTAATTACAGCGAAGGAGGGCGTCTCTATTGTAGCCGTGAAAACGCTAAAGGAAAATGCCACGGAAAAAGAAAGGCAAGACTTGCTGTCTGAATTACAAGTTATGAAAATGTTGGACGTTCACCCTAACGTCGTCAAATTATTAGGATGCTGCACTGAAAAGGATCCAGTTTTTGTTATAATGGAATTTATAAGTAAAGGAAAACTTCAGAGTTTTCTAAGGAATTCAAGGGCCGAACGCAATTACAACAACATGCACGGGCAAAGTAAAACCCTTACGTCGCGGGATTTGACTTCTTTTGTTTATCAAGTAGCTAAAGGAATGGAATTTTTGTCTGCGAATGGGGTAAGTACTCTTTAGGGGAATTATATTTGAAAAATTTTGATTCGTAGTAGAACTACGCTACCGTAAATTAGAGCGAGGGGGAAGGAAAACACATTGCGCGATTAATATTATAAAATTATTTTCCTCTTTTTCCGGTAGCCATAAAAAGTCGATGAATATCGTATTTAACAATTTGACTGCTTTATAGTCCAAGAACCCAGTAGGAAAGTATACCTTGAACGCCCGGACGATTCTAATAATTTTCATAGGATTCGCCATAAAAAGTTGCATTAGAATCGACAACGGTGCCGGCGAAAATCCTGCCGAAAGCAATTAAAAAGGATTAAATTCGCCCCTTATTTTTGGAAAATGTACTTTATTGTCCCGGACGTTCAGGAAGAGTACTAAAGGGTGCATATGGATGAGTTTTATCGGAAAAAGTCACGGTGCCGGGGCGCAACTTGCCGCAACCTTTGGCACCGCGACTACAAATGGGGTGGTAGATCGTACTAAACTACCTTTTTCTCCCGGACCAAAATGACCTACTATATGAAGCATGTAGCTTGCGATTATGTATACGAATAAAAAAAACCAACGGTGCCGACTCTCAGGATGCCGGAAGTCCTCGGCACCGTCGATGGAATCCGAGCGCGCGCGAACCTATTGACAATTGAAAAATTGCAGGAATTCACGTCATGTATTCCGTGAAAAAATGTAACAGCGTGGATACCGCGAGATCAAATATATTCCACATTTTCTCGACGAGAAAAGATTCTGAGAAACTCGTCAAGAAAATCAGAGGATTTGATTCGTGTACGATTCCCCCTTGTTTCAAATTATTAAAACAAAAGATTCTACGAACGATTTTTGTTACTGCTATGATGAAAAATGCAGCAGAAAAACAATGTTACACTCTCGATCCTCCAAAATGTGGCTGGGAAATGAAAGATATTTTTTTCACTACTAGCGTCTGATGACATGATTATTAACCTTTTTTCCACTTGTAAAGTAGGCTTTCTCGGCATTTGTTCAAAGTGGTTAATAATTTTTTATTATTAACTAGTAGTCAATAATGAAAACTGTCACGCTGTCACTTTTAGAAAACACAACCCGAAATTTCGCTCAATGAACGTTTAGACAAGTTCTCTAAAACGAATCACCACCATTCGCAATTTCCAGAGAAATTACATACCTAAAATTATCACATTTTGAAAAAATTCGAACGAAATTACTCTTTGAAAAATCTCAATGACAGAACAAAATACGGCCTGTTTGCCTTGTACTTCCACGTACTTGATTGACATGTTAAATTAAGAAACAAACAATTCTGTCCAACCGTTAACTCTCTTATCAATATAATATGTTAATTTAGAGGATTTCAAGTGCTAGTAGTGAAAAAAATAGTATATATACCACGGTAGAGAAGTCTATTATTGCCTTCGCACCTTACCCCCCTCGGCGCAAGCGCCTCGAGATGTAATCTTGGTGCTCAGGCAATAATAGTGGACTTCTCTACCTTGATATATAATGTACTATTAGAACCCTTTTGGTTCGAGGACGATCCTACTCCTTTGAGCGTCGATGATATTTTGAAAAACAACCGTCCTGAAACTCGGAACTAGACACCGATGTGGAAGAAAATGATTTAGATGACTCTCAGGACAATTATTCGATCATTTCTACTTTTTTTGGGTTGCTTTCAGGTATAACCACACAAGTCAAGTGTTTTACCTCGTGTTTTACTTTTCAAAAAATTAATGTTTAAGAATTAAAAACGATTTTGCCGGTTCTTTTGTTGTTTTTTTTTGAACAAAAAAGTGGTTCAGCCTATAAAAGAATGATTCTCTAAGTGACCGAAATAACGGCATAAGTCTATTTGTACTCATTGAAATCTGTATCGTCAAAAGTTTGAGAAAATGGACTTAAATCGTGTTTCTCGCAGTCACAGAAGTGATCGGATACGAAAAGAAGGCTCTTGCGCGCCCCCGGATTTCTTATAATTTGTCTACTCTTAAGCTAAATTTTTCATTAAGGACTTTTTGGTCCGGGAAAACAAGCTGGATTATTACAATTTACCACCTCTTTTATTGGCGCACTGTCAATAAGCTCGCACGCGCCCGGATTCCATCGACGGTGCCGAGGACTTCCGGCATCCTGAGAGTCGGCACCGTTGGTTTTTTTATTCGTATAATAGCAAGCTACATATTTCATATAAGTAGATCATTTTGGTCCGGGAGAAAAAGATAGTTTAGTACGATTTACCACCACATTTGTAGTCGCGGTGCCAAGGGTTGCGGCAAGTTGCGCCCCGGCACCGTGACTTTTTCCGATAAAACTCATCCATATGCACCCTTTAGTACTCTTCCTGAACGTCCGGGACAATAAAGTACATTTTCCAAAAATAAGGGGCGAATTTAATCCTTTTTAATTGCTTTCGGCAGGATTTTCGCCGGCACCGTTGTCGATTCTAATACAACTTTTTATGGCGAATCCTATGAAAATTATTAGTCGTCCGGGCGTTCAAGGTATACTTTCCTACTGGACACTTGGACTATTACAGTAAGAAACTATACCTATAGTTGTTTATCAAAAATGCGTAGTGATTCTCCGGTGTACCTACATTGATACTTTGCAAGTGCATTATTCGTTGTAGAGCGAACTAGGGGTGAAGCTTACGCTCATTTTGTAAAACAAATACACAACATTCGTTGAAAACTAATCGATATTCCAATTTACACGTACGGACTTAATCCGATTATATTATTAGGACCGTTTACTACTTGTGTTAAACGGACGCTATTGCGAATATCGATGAAAAGGTCAAACAATGACATAAAGGATAAAGCTCACCGGCTAATTGCGGTGTGGGATATGTAGAAAGAATGAAATTGTGATGAGAAAAATATAAAAACGTTGTATTTATTTCTTATTGGCTATCGATTTTGACACTACAAAATGTGTCATCATCAGATCGTGCTATAAATAAACCGATACAACGAAATATCGAAGGATCCTCAGTATTACAATCACTTTTAACGACAATTTATTTTAATCTTACATAAGTAATACATTTTATAGTCTTTTTTCATGTCTTAGGCATTGAGATAATGCCCCTAGTCTTTTTCCCAACGATCTTGGTGCATAAATAACGATTTTGACATATTTTGGTCAAAATCCATGTGACCTCAGAAAAATAATTTAACATCTTTGAATCACACACATGCGGTTATCAAATGTGGACGTCATGTACTCTTTCAGCATCAAGATAATGCGTTTGAAAGCTTTTACAACTCCAAATTTATGTGTAAAGAATAATTTTGGGTACATTTTGCTCTAAAACTTTTGACCTATACTATAGAGAAGAGTTATATTGAATTATTACACATCTAAAAGTCAGAGGGAATAATCTAGCGAAAGTCCGAACTCGATACATGACGTAGGGAATGAAATATGTTGATTTCTATTATATTGAGCCCGCAGTTTTTCCTGTTCCCGATTCATTCGAAGCCCTATAACTTTTGTTCCTGTTGAACCAGCTTCCTGAAAATCAATAGCGTCCGTCCTTAATGTCCAAAGTACCCCTACACCAAATTTCAACACAATCGGTCACTTTTAAAAAGAGTTAGAGCGCACACGGACGGACGGACGACAATACAAAACTATAAAGGATCCTTAATATGTAATATGTAGGTATGATAATTTAAAAACGTAACAACCGTTATATAACCGCCAATGACATAAAAACAGGTAAAAATTTGTGGTGCGTGAGTTTTTTCCTTTAAACTATTGGGTTTTCGATAAATCCGTGGTGGGAAGTTTTCAAATGAACACCTGCATGTATACCTGCATTGCAGATTGAAAGAGAATTTACCTGAATTTGGATTATTTGTCCACTCTCGACCTATAAATGATCAAAATGACACCGTTGACGAGGAAGCCGCCCTTGTAGGAATGTGTAGAACCAAATCACGAAACTTCTTCACGGCAAATTGCAATAGATGTTGGTGTTTCGGTGACGAGTGCTAGAATTTTGAATAAACCAAATAGCCGTGATTGGGCAAATGAAAAACCCGCATCTACCTATGCGAGCCCAAGGAAAAGTTGGGTTAAATGTGGGGTGTTGCCTATAAAACGACATAGTTTAAAATATTATATTTTTAGCGACACACTTACATCTGTCTGACAGATATATTCAAACATTAGAGCACGACCTAGAAAATTTACTCGATAATATTTATTTTTCAGTAAGACGCAGCTCGTAATGTGTTAAATGTTCGAAACTATTTAATTTTAATGATCTCGTACCTAATAATTGGACGGGGACCAAGAGACCAATAAAATTGCCAGCAGGTCCACCCGATTTAAACCCATTTGATTCCTTTTTGTTTTTTTTTAAATAAAATTTATAAGTATGTCCTTCTACAACTGGTGAAGATCTACAGCAAAATGCAGAATGAACGTCCAACCACTACCAATCTTGAATGCGACACGATCTTTGGGAAACAGATGCAACATGTGAATTTTGCACAATCAGGGGTACTTTGAAAAATATTTGTAGATTTTGTTCAATATCAGCTGTTTTGTTTACTGTTTTCTTAACATCAAGCTTATATTATCTTTCAAGTGTTTCATAGGCGACTATATTTTTTGTTATTTATTTTCAGACAAAATGTACCTATAAGCAAAATTTATTGTAGAGAGCTTATCTTCGCATGACGTACCTCTTACCTACTTATTATACATTTTCGGCGCACTCGAATCTCGATCGACTCACGCCAGAGTAACGTTCGAAGGTGATCGAACCGAAGCCACCGTAATATTACGGTGACTGGTGGCTTCGATCGAACCGTCCGAACAAGTACTTACTATACTAGTCTCGCGTCTAGTTATTTGAATTCTACCAGTAGATCATGTGGTGCTGCGGTTGCTGAGGGTCGGAAAATTAATAAATATAGAGACCAGGGGGTCGATTTTTGAAACCAGTCGCATCTATTCGTATACGCTTAGATGCGAAGACTTAA